AGGCATTGCACTGATTCACTGAGAAGTGTCTTTATGAAAAATATCTGATGCTAATCCTAAAACAGTAGTAGTGGTATTAACTGTATGATGTATGTCACTATTGTGACATCCATCCATCCATCCATCCATCCATCCATCCATCCATCGACCCTCTACCATTTTTTTTTTCCTTTCTAAGTCACAGAGGATCTGGTGCCTATCTCTATCAGTCGCTGTACAAGAGGCATGGTACACTGTAGACAGGTAGTAAGTCCATCACAGGGCTACATAGGCTGTGTTGCCATTGATAAGTATGACTCATCTAGGTTCTCCTCTTAAAGGATCTTCTAATGTGTAGGTGAAAACCCACTGTGACTTGTTTCCTCACTCTGTGGGCAGGATCTTCATTGCAAAGTGGGTGGTATCATCCAGCTCTCACTGAATCCTCTGGTCCGCCAACCAAGAAAGAAAGGTCTGGACTTTGTCAGTTGTCCACGGCACTACTGTACTTTTGGAGCTTCCATTACTGAACTCTAGAAAAAACGAACTACAAAACCCACATTCTGCCCTCTGCAGCATTCAGAGAGGAAATGGAGGTTCAGATGCACCAAAGTCCATGTTCAATAATCCAGGTATAAAATCCAACAATGTTCAGTCAAGTCCTCAGACCTAGTAATCATCCTCAGACTGATGGAATCTTCTGGATGGAAGACGAAACTTCTCAGCACAAACAACAAAAAAGAAACTGTCCAGATGACCTGACTATACATTTTTGGAGGTTCAGATGTAGTTTGCAGTTTTTCTGAGCAGGTAATCCAGTGATGTAGCTCTTCTGGCCAATCAACAGCTGCTGCCTGCTTACATCAAAATTGTCACCTTGGAGCAGTTTGCTTAGAACCACAAACAAAATGGTCCCATAAACTGGGTTGAATGGGGATGAGTATCAGCAGTTGGCAGGCCCTTAACTAGTGGTGCAGAACCGAGGAGTGCTGAGACTGTGGGTTAGTGCCAATAGAGTTAAATGAGACAGTCATTAACACTCTGTCTGCCACCTAAAGACTTAGCTGAGAACAGGTTTTGTAGGATCACTGAGCTTGATCTTCATTGTTAGGATTAGTGAAGACATACCTCCTAAACAAACCATGGATATGTTGGATCTGCTTTGTTGCCCGGCCTGCTGACCATTGGATTCTGACAACATGAGGAAGAGTGCAAAAAAAAAAAGTGAAGATTTCATTTTATAATCTAAAATTACACTTACAAATGAACTTAAAATCTAAACTGTGTCTGTTTAAGTGCATTATTATTGCATATGTGGATATATATGCATGCATTTTAACCCAAAAAGTAAATAACCTGAACAATATATCATTGTAGAAGAGAGGAGGGATACATCTAGGCTGGAAGCAGGAATATGAACACCTATAAAAAAAATGTTCTGTCCGCAGGTGTTTCAAATTTGTTTGGAAGCTGCAACCAATCAATGCCTTCAGGTCCTGCAGCAATCCACAATCACAGAGCACACATGACTTCTCTAACATGTCTGTAATTGAAGGCTTTCCTCAGTTCATGAATATATATCAGACAGTTATTGTCAGCTGTCTGATGTGGAAATACCTGGATCAGGCCATTCGTCCATTTTATCATTTTTCCACAGTAAAATGAGAGTCCAAGCTTCACTGGGATTCTTTATAAGGTTTGGCCCATTACGTTGTTAATGTGACATAATAATAATAATAATAATAATGATAATAATAATAATAATAATAATAATAATAATAATAATAATAATAATAATAATATTAGTATAATTGGTATGCAATTAAATTATATTCACTGCCATTCAGATCATGAACCACATGGCTTGTGGGTACATAAAAATGATCAAACTCTGTTTACGAACCTTTTACACTTACTTTTGCAGACATTAAAATTAGAAACAGAAAATAACTGATGCAAATTCATCCCAATGCTAACACCAAGTTCATGTAATTATTTTGTTTTTAGATAATACATTAAAATGAACAGGTACGTGTGCCAGGGAACATTTTCTAACCCTCTGGCAAAACCTGTCATAATGCTGAAATGATGTTTGCTCATATTTTACATTAAATGAACATGTGGGTATGGCCACAGGCGTCAGAACCTGGAAAACAACCTGACATTTATCTTCAAACATTTTACTTTTCCAGACAGCCTATCAATGTTGCACACGAGCCTCCAGTTGTATTCATAGTCTACAAATGTAATTTGTAAAAAAAATTCTGTTAGGTGAAAGGTGAGATCCATTTAGTGCTCTAAATTGCATTTGAGCTTCTACTCAATGTGCAATTTGTTGAATCTTTGGTTCATGTTTATGTTGAGTAACTCAGAGTGTTTTAGGGTTTGGGTAATTTCCTCATTGTACTCCAAGTTGTGCCTCCTGTTGCCCTCAGTTCACTCACCTGTAGCCATTTTCACCCAGTTTCACACCACACAGTCTTTGAATTTAATCTCCCAACCCAGTCCTTAATCTCATCTCTTGAGGCAAACCTTACATTCATATTGGATTTTCATCTGTGTGCTGTGCCTGACTGTGTAGATTTCCACACCTTTCAGCGTAAATATATTTGATCAATAATGTTTTTGTACATGTTGTACCCTGAAGACATGTCTTGAGATTAGAATGGATTTCTTTCAGCTAGCAGCCTAAAGGAAACATAAAGGCCACCATTTCATTCCCTTGTTTTAATAGGTCAGCAGGTGGTGTGTTCAATGTCCTGAACTTGTTTTTATGTTTGACAGATAATGATGAGCCATCTGACTAGTTTTAATATTTAAATACAAAAACACGTGGCATATTTCTCAATTGTTTGATATTCAAGGGTAAAACACAGACTTTATCACAGTTTTGTATTTAAGGCAGATTGTACGACTCATGCTTGAAAGAACAGTCACTAAAAGGGTCAAATGCTGAGCGAATGCAAATGAGCTTCATGATCAATGAGGTGCACAAGCATAGAGGTGACTCATAGATACCTGCTTGAAGAAGAAAAAAAAAGTGCTTGAAAAGAAACTGAGAGAAGAATCAGTGATGTTCACATTGCGTTCAATTCTAATTATTTTACGGAGACCTGTGCAAAAGTTTTTGCTCCAGCACTCTCTGATGGTTTGCTTGAGCAGAGCACAAAGTAAAAGCAGATAATGAAAGTCATTCCTTATAGAAAGAGTCTGAAAGTCTAACTGTTTTTCTAGCAGATTGAGACCAGAGGGTGAACGGAGTTCAACAGATCCAAGTCTGGGCAGCTTGGATAAGAAAACCCAGTTGTATAAAAATAAAAAATAAAAATAAAAGTAATGGAGGGGCCAAAATTCAAGGATTCAAGGATTTTTTTAAATTGTCATACCAGCTCACATTTGTATGTTTGTGGTACAAAATTCAGACTCAGGTCCCAGATCAAGAAATCTAACAATTAACAAATAAATAAATACAAAACAGTATAAATATATATACATATAAACATACATACACACACATATATGTGTGTGTGCGTACATGTGCACGTAAGAAAAAACAAAAAAGTAAGATGAGGCTGAATTAAGTGCAGCTCGAGTTCAGCAGTCTGACAGCTGCTCTGAATGCTCCGCAGCCACCTGCTTGGGGTGGGGGGGGGGGGGGGGGGGGCTGGAACAGTGTGTGCAGGATGATGGAGTCCTTCATGATGTGGAGCGCCTTCCCCCTGCATCGTGATGTATAGAGGTCTGAGGTGGTAGGAAGGCTCCCTCTGCAAAGCCATCCTCTCAGCAGCAGTGCAGCTGCCGTGCCACAAAGTGATGCAGGTGCATAGAACGCTCTCCACCACACAGCGATAGAAGCTCCTCAGGACAGAGCTCCCAAGTCCAGCTCTCCGCAGCTTCCTTCACTCATGAACACGTTCTCATTGTATCTTAGTGCAATGAAAATAAAAATCTTATTCTGATTCTGAAAATAAAAAGTTGCTTTATAGTATTAGGTTGGATAAGACTGAAATCTGTTTTTTTATCTTTTGAATATAATACACAGTAATAGCACACTGTTGTGAAACCTAGACCTTTAAAACTCTATATTTATTTCATCAGAGTTTGGTGTAATATCACAATACATAGCCACTCACAAAAAATAACATTCCCAGGCATGCAACATTTTAATAATCTTGAAACTGTATTGTTTTACCATTACTGAGTTTCAGTGTTATTCTTAGGGTGTACAGGATGGATGGATGGATGGATGGATGGATGTCAAAAATATTCATTGAAAGGATAAAACTGAACTTACATTTAACTGAACAACTTAAGGGCAAGTGTATAAAAGAACAAATCTGATTCTTCTGCTATCTGTACTTATCCTCTCGTTTTTGTTATATTTTTACAAACTATATGGATTTTTTAGTGGTCTAGCTTAAGTCACATTAATTTCACTCTGCATGGAAATACAGTAAGTGGATAATATTGGACTGAAGAGATATTTGGAATGAGGAAGCAGAGAAGATCTCTTGTTTTGATTGTGTGCTTTTCTTTCTAGCTGTGCTTCTTTTTGCTGATTTAAGCAATTTGCTTCATTTAACTTTTTTCTTTGTATATATGTTTAATCATTTGATAAAGAAAGACGCTGAAGATGTTTTGAAAAAGAAAGGTCAAACCCAAATGGCAAAAGAAACCGTCTCATTTTTTTGTACAGTCAACCTACAGTATATTACAATTGCAAATAAATGTCACTGTGACGGTGTCATCTATCATGTCAGAAGCCCAGAGAAGCAGTTCTGAGCCTCGAGGTAAAAATGTGTCCAGAAATTTTGAAAATGCATGGGAAAGTGTGGATGTCAGGTGAGTCGACATGTCCACCAACTATTCAGGGATGAATGATCACTCCTAGAATATACAAAGTGTTGGTTAAAAAAAGATTGAGGTCTGAGGAATCCTGTTTGGTTTTGTGCATATCTATTTGAGCTAAAGTGGATACATTTCTATCTAATGTTAACATTAAACTTCTATTTCCTATGCAGAATGACTACCGTAAGCTGTCCATGCAGTGTAAAGACTTTGTTGTGGGTGTGTTGGACCTTTGTCGGGACACTGAAGAAGTTGAGGCCATTCTGAATGGCGATGTGGATCAATGCCCTCCGAGCCCCTACAACCGACCCTGCCTCAGCCGTGTTAAGCTGGCCATCAAGTACGAAGTCAAAAAGGTAAGAAAAATATTGAAGATACAGTCAAGGACAATGTGGGTTCATTTAAGGGGTGAATTGCTTTAGTAAATTTTTAATCAAAGCATATTCAGAGATTCAGATTCAAAGATTCTTTATTGTCATTCACACATGTGGTACATGTGGTGGAATGAAATTATGTGCATTAAAATTATTTAAATTAAATTAAAATGATGTACATTAAAAATCCCATATGGTTTGTAAAAACATAACATATAAAGTTGTTATTTACAGTTTAGCTTAGATATACAAAAAAAAACTTGTGGTTCATGTTATAAATGGGAAAATGCTGATATGATTTTTATTTTATTTTTTGCATTAGACAAAAACATTTGAATTTGAATATTACCAACAAAGTTGAGATATTGTCAAAATTAAAAAGAATTTGATTTACTCATTCAGAAGAATTGAAAGTAAACATAAAATCACCTTCAGTGATTGATTGCTCATGTTCTATTTTCTTGCAAAAATCCAGAATGAAAATAATATTTTTACCAATTCAGAAAACACACGTTAATGACTGATTGAAAACTTTACCGCCTTGAATATTAAAGAAAATATTTTAGCTCTTAAGTACATTTGTGAAGCAAAGGCTGCTTAACTGAACATGAAATGTTTTGTCAGTCCTGTTTTTATTTGGAATTCAGCTGAACATGCACATTAAAAGACGTCCTTACCAAAACAAATGTTACATTTTGTTCTTGTTACTGAGATAATTTCAAATGGTCCCTCTTCTTCAACCTTAAAAGCAATTTATGATTTCTGCAGAATATTTTTTGCACTTAAGCATTGATGAAAGTCTTCTTTTTTTCGGGTGTTCCCTCTTCAGGGGTCGCCATATCGAGTCATCCTCCTCCATCTCATTCTGTCCTCTTCATCCTCCGTCCTCACTCCAGCTACCTCCATGTCCTCTCTAACTGCATCCATATAGCTCCTTTTTGTCTTTTTCCTGGCAGCTGCATTTCTAACATTCTTCTACCGATATACCTACTGTCCCTCCTCTGGACATGTTCAAACCATCTCAGTCTGACCTCTCTAACTTTACTGTTTCTCTCAGTTGTTCAACCTGTGCTGTACCTCTGATTATCTCATTCCTAATCTTATCCATCCTTGTCACTCCTAAGAAGAACCTCAACATCTTAATTTATGCCACTTCCAGTTCTTTCTCCTGTCTTTTTGTCACTGCCACTGTCTCCAGACCATACAACACAGCTGGTCTTACTACTGTCCTGTTAACATTTTATTTGACATGTTATGCAGTAATGCAAGTCTTTTAAAATATTACCTAAAAAAGTAGTATATTTGAGTTGATACTTATTGTGAGTACTTATCCGTTTTTACTAGGAAACTCAACCTTTTGATATGCTCTTTTTACAATAACTCAAATCAATTATTTGATAAGTTATCTTTATTCTAATGTTAAGAAAACAATGTTCAAATGGCATGCAAATATTTAACTTTTTCCCATTGTTTCCTACTTTATTATAAAAATAAATTGACCTTGGATAAGCTACAGTACAAGCTCTGCCTGGCGGTGCTGTTTTGAAGTCACCATTGAGATGTCCAAGTAGAACTATTAGGCAGACAGAAATCAAGCAGTCGGCCTGACCCAAAATAACTGTTGTCATCTGAATCTGGCTCCCCCATGTCGGGCTTGAATTGGCCAACTATCCCAAACTCTCCTGGTTGTTATGTGAACAAGAAGCTCTGCACCCCTCCTCCCCTGCCCACTCCCTTCCCGAGGACATCTGTGGACCAGTGTCAGAGCTGAGCTGGCTGATAGACACTGCACCATCTCTTATCAGGACTATGGGGACTGTCTGGCAGTGTCCACAGACAAACTCACCACCTTCGTCGGCCTTTCTCGTGCATATGTATCATAATGTCATCAATATGTTGCTATTTCTGTGCTGAGGTTGTTGGTTTTTTTTGCAACTTTCACACTGTGTCCCATCTAGAACACAGTGTGAGATATGATTTTTTTACACCTCCCCTTCCCTCATGTTTCTCTTTTCCTTATCTAAACAAAAAAGGCAGCACCTCCCATAAGGCCACACCCTCAGACACCTCCGTCTACCCATGTCTTTTTGTTTGTGTTTTACTTGGACGGGCTGTACTGACATGTACATTTGTTGTGCTTCGGTGCAATAACAATATAGTTGATGCCTATTCTGATTCATGGAAGATTATCAGTAGAATAACCTTTGGCAGGTCAAACTTACAGGGCATTATAGACGTAAAGTTTTTGTAGAAACAAAATAAATAAATAAAACATTTGAAGAACGAGTTATTGTAAAAAGGTCAAAGTCACCAATCACTGTTCAGTTGCTGCAACTTCCAAACCTTTCAAGTGGCACTACATGAGGAAGTGTCATGCAGCTGTGATCAACATGGCCTCTGGCAATTCCTTGGAAAGTATTTTCAACCAACGCCATCTGTTGTGGCTTCCATTAATGTAACCTGAAACTTTGTTACACCCCAAAGCAGCCAAATCTAAAATCACTCTTCATTATAGGGATGACCTGTAGATATGTAAGGGTATTGTTGATGTGGAAGATTTTATCTGAAACTGGAATAAACATATTTTGCCATTAAGGTGATGTATTCTCTACTTTAGCAGGATAACACCAGGCCTCTTTCTGCTTGATGTCATTCAGCTTCAATATATAGATAAAACACTTGTGTGCTTGAATGCCCTGTCTGTAGTTGAGACCTGTCTCTTTAAAAAAAAACTGTTGCATTGCATAAACTGCTAAACTTAATCTGTTCAGCAGTGGAAAAGTTATAGACAACAAGAACGAACTGGCTAAATGTGCTACTTGTATGTTCAACTCCATAATAATTAAAAAGAATAACTGAAATAAGGGATGCAACACAATAATATAATTAATTTGTCAAAGTTTATAGACGAACAACTAATTTTTGTTTTCTGTTCAGGTGTTTGTTGCATATAAATTGTATTACCATGCAAAAAAATAAAAAATAAAAATTGAAAAACTCAAAACCTAATTAATCTAATTAGCATAGCATTAACTCTTAAAATTGTAACATCTGAGTATGCATCCTTGAATAGATTGCGCAAAGATGAATAACTTAAAGTTGCGTAATGTGGTCAGCTTCAGAAGGTCCAAAGTAAACAGCTTGCATGTCCCTGAAGAGGCGCTAACCCCCGCTGAGCAGTGTGTCTTCTTAAATGTCAAAACAAATATATTTTCTCCTATTTCACCTCATGAACATGTTCCTGTTTGACCCCCAGAGTGATACGTGTTTCCCCGAATCAGGTATATCTGTCACTGAGTGTTTGCCTGTATTACTGTACTGGGAAGCAGCTTTGTTTTGTACAAGTGATCCTGCCCAATAGCGGGCAGCTAATTACAGGAGAGATAATGACAGAGGGAGGGATGAGTTACCATGGAAACCAGGTGGAGCATGACAAAGTTGCTAGACTAAGACAGGGTTAAGTTCATGGGTCAAAGGATTAACAGACTGCTAACAGGAAACTAATGGGATAAACTGACACGTTTGCTTTTAAGAATTTAAATGTCAATCAAAGAAGGCTGGGTTCTTGTACATGTTGGTGTTTTTGTGGTTTTTATTTTACTGTTGTTGGGTGTGAGCAGAAAATGCAAATCATGAGCTCATGTAAAGTCTCCCAGGATTTAATGGTCAAGGTTGGATTATGATGGCTTGGAGAGGACCGAGGTGAAAGCAATGAGACAAAATAGAGACCCAATGAAAAGTGAAAACACACAAACACTGAAGGTACATGACCACCAACTGAGAATTGATTCCTCTGTTTTCCACATCCTTCCTCTACAAGAAAAGCATCCGTCTTCTCTCTGCCTTACACAATACCCACGTTGGCTTTCATTTACTGCATCTATAAAGTCTATTGGTGTCTATTCTTTACATTAAAATTATTATCCAAAATGTGCTTTTGCTAAATCAATCCTAGTTGTAGTCATACTTTAAATCCAAATAAATTGAGTTTTTATTTAGATTTTAATTATTAGAATTTAATAGATGTGCTTTAGTGACACAGTTTGCTAAGTAAGATCCCTTCAAATAACTGAGTGCACGTTCTGTCTTCTTGTAATCATCATCACGCCATTTTGCATCTTTAGTCCAAGGTTCATATCTGCGACCACCGTCTAATCAACTCCTGTCCAGCAAATTATTTTACTGCAACCCTTGTAGAAAGCTTTGCCTTCTTGAAACAAAAGCTCTGCTTTCTATTAGTAAGACAGTGTTTAATCACTTATTTATGTTAAGCACCAGCATGTTCTTTACCAGGGTTTGTACGTATCATTGACCTGCATGCAGTCCTGACTGTCAACTACCTGCTGTGTTTCACAGAATACAGCAACTGGTTCTGAATGAAGAGTTGTTTAGACACAACAGGGTCAATTTTTTTTAAGCCATGTTCATAATATTTGCACTGTTTTGGTAAAGGAGACAAGATGACTGGGTTTCTTTTTCAGAAATAGATCTTGTCTAACTCTGAATGCTGGGAAACTCCTTGTAATTGTGACTTTCTTTCCCTCCATCGACTACGATAACATTATTTGCATGAATGCTCCTACAAGCATCCTGCAGATGTTGGATGCTGTCTATCACGGTGCACTAAGATTCATAACTAGCTGTAACTATTGTACCCACCACTGCACCCTGTATTCACTGGTTAACTGGTCATCATTAACTTCACGCAGACTCTCTCACTGGTACATTTTCATCTTTAAATCACTTCTTGGTCTGTTGCCTTCATACATCTCCTCCTACATGTCTCTGCGTGAGTGCAGCTACAGCGTGCGCTCTCAGGACATTATTACCTGCAGTGATCCCTCAGTGAGGACTGAACTAGGCAAAAGGGCCTTCTCATACTCTGCTCTTGTTTCCTGGAATATCTTGCAAAAAGATCTGAAGCTCTCGACCTTGACCTCTCTAAGTGGCTTCAAATATCTGTTAAGTTCCTGGCAAGAACCAACGCAGACGTTCCTGTTTTCAGTTTTCTACACCGCCTTATAATCTAGTTTGTTTTTTTTGGCTATGTATTCCTTTTAATTATTCCTTTAATTATCATTTTGTTTTCAATTGTAAATA